ATATATATATATATATATATATATATATATATATATATATATATATATATATATATATATATATATATATATATATATATATATATGCTGATAACCACATACCTGGATCACGCGCACCTACATTAGTTACACACACACACACACACACACACACACACACACACACACACACACACACACACACAGAGTGCACGATATTAAACTATAATAACCAAGCACTAATGACCTCTCACTAACAACTTACCTCTATCTTAATCACCTAGTTAATGATGGCCACTGGGTAATGACCAGCCACTAAACACTAAGATAAGTATGATGGGTCATTAGCCAAAATTGACCCCAGTCCAATTAGGCCCCAAACCAATCCTAACCTAACCTAACCAAATTTAAACTACCTTAGCCTAGCCTAACCTAACCTAACCAAATGTAACCTAACCTCACAGTGAAAATGAAGTGGGTCCCATAGGCATGACTGCACACTGTACACTAAGCCTTCGGTACACAAGGAGGCAGCATGGCCGGTACTGCACTCAACCGCCTTCACTTCCCCAAGATGTAAACTTAGGTACCCATTTACAGCTGCTGGGTGAACTGGGAGTTGCCTGGGGATCGAACCACCGACCCCTGGAACAGTCGGAGAAGCGCTGTATTCACTTGACCACCGCACTCCTGATCGTACAGTAGCGAGCCATTAAGATTGAGTCTCGGTGTTAATGGTGTCCAGTCCTTATAAGCTCCAGCCATTAGTTAGTCTCAGTCCTAATGGGCCCCAGTGGTTGCAGTTGGGTTATGTGAGGCTAGGTTAGGTTAGGTTAACTTGGGGTCTGTTAGGTTAGGTTTGGCTGGGGTTTCTTAAGATGAGGTTAGGTTAGGTTTGGCTGGGACCTGTTAGGATTAAGTTACATCAGGTTAGGTTAGGTTAGGTTAGGTTAGGATTAAGTTAGATCAGGTTAAGTTAGGTTAGGTTAGGTTAGGTTAGGATTAAGTTAGATCAGGTTAGGTTAGCTTTGGCTGGAGTCTAGTAGGATAAGGGGCCCATTAGACCAGCAGGTGGATGGTGAGGAGGACCTTGCTCATATAATTGTCTTCTGTCTCTCCTGCACCTTCAGAAGTGTCGCCGGAGGACTTTATGCGTCGCCTGGGCCGGGAGTACGTGAAGGAGTGTCGCCGGCAGCACGGGAAAGCTCTGGAGAGCCTCGGCTACAACCTGGATGGTTTCCTCACCAACCTGACGGGAATCTGCGACATCATCAAGACCAACTCTAACCTGAAGACGAAGAACGACGTGCCCAACCTCGTCTGCAACCGTCAGGAGGAGAGGGTCGTCCTGCACTTCTTCACCAACAGGGAACCCATCAGGTACTTCGTCGGGGGAGTGATCGAGGGCGTGAGTCTCCAGGTGTTCTGCAGGAGGGTGACCGTCGCCTGTGATAAGTGCGACACACCTAACGGCAACAGATCCAACCACAGATTCTACTTCAAGTACACCATTGTGGATGAGTGTGTGGAGCCGGCCATCAGCAGCGGCTCTTCACACAACGGGAGGAGAGACCAACCGCGGGCCATGGCTCTTACGTCTCCTCCTCCAGCGTTAAAGACTCCAAGATCGGTGTCAACAGCTTCTGCAAGGCGTTCCCATGGCACTTTGTGTGTAACAAGGCCATGAGAATAACACAGATGGGATCAGGACTTCTGCAGGTGGGTGGTGGTGGCGGTCATATGACACCATTTTAATGACGCACTCTACTCCTCTTTACAGTTGGGCTATTGGGTTGTGATTTTACGGCTTCTCTCTCTCACCTTTAGGAACAAGAAGCATCACCTGCAAGAATAATCAAGGCAATTCTCTGTCCCTCAGGTGTGGGTGTTAGTTAAAGGGTAGTGGTGACTCTCACACACTCTTCACACACCTCACTTCACACACTTCACCACTCACACTGTCACCTCTCCAGGTGTTCGGCCAGCAGCCCCTCCGTCAGGGTGAGGAGGTCTCCACGTACTGGTGTCCCCTGAAGGCACTACTCTCACCTATGATCAAGTCATCACCCGGATCAACACAGCCTACGTCCTGGCCATCAAGAGCCAGCCATGTTCCCGCTCGAAGATGAAGGTGAGAGATAGTGAGAGACAGTGAGAGATAGTAGTGATGAAGGTGAGAGACAGTGAGAGATAGTAGTGTTGAAGGTGAGGGCTAGTGAGAGACAGTGAGAGATAGTAGTGTTGAAGGTGGGTGAGAGATAATGGTGGTAAGAGATAGTGTGGGAGAGATAGAGAGATAGCAGGAGACAGGTGAGAGGCAGCAGTGTTCCCGTCTTATGAAAAGGAGAGATAATGGGTGAGACACACGTAAGACCTAACCTAATTCAACCTAACGTTCCAGTGTTTCTCAAACTTGTTCACATCATGAGGAACACTCAACATGGACCCCTTCAGTTCTCTCCCTCACAATAATGATCAAAATAAAATGTTTTGGTTCTCTTCCTTTATTTTAATGTTTTCAATCATCAAACAGAATGAATATTTTGTTACAGTTCAATGGGATGGATGATAATTGTTTCCTAGTCGACTGATTCGAGGTTGAGTCACTGATAAAGCACATCTCATGTCTGGGTCCACATGTAACCGGTTTCGACTTTTATTCTCTACTTGAAGAAGGTGGAGAAACCAGATTAACATAAATAAGTAGTAGAAAATGGCAAGAGGACTCGAAGTGCGATCTCACTAACGTTAGGATATGACTGATACATTGAGCACCAGAATACAGTCAGAGATTTATATATATTTCTCCCCCTAACAAGACAAAGTAACAAAAAAAAGAGTTGAATCAGAGTTTCCACATTTCCTCCAAGCATATACTACTTACACTAGCCTGCCATGGCCCCCAGTTTGAGAAACACTGATCTAGCTAACCAAACCTAACCTAACCTAACCACCGCCCACATTAGGGTCTTTAATCATCAGATGTAATAAACAGGGGTGCTTAATCTTCACGTCGTCCCAAATACACGTAAAAAATCATAAAATAATAAAAGTAAGGAAACAGACGATAAGAGGAAAGGAAAATAAAGATAGATGGATAAATACAAATATACAGACAGACAAAGACAGACACAAAGATAACTATATGGACAGACAGACAGACAGACAGACAGACAGACAGACAGACAGACAGACAGACGAAGACACAAAATCAAGTCATTCTGAATAATTAGGTGTTTTTTGAGCGTAACATTATCCCCCAGGTGCTGAGAGGGAGTAAAGGAGAGTTTTATAATACACCGTGGAGCTATATATATATATTGACTTAATACACCAGGCTTATAGTACACATTATGAGTCTAGTCTTATTAATACTTTATATGAGGCCTGTGTGTGTGTGTGTGTGTGTGTGTGTGTGTGTGTGTGTGTGTGTGTGTGTGTGTGTGTGTGTGTGTGGGGGGCGTCAATTACAGGGAAAGAATAACAGGACGCAATTAAGAAGAGGTTATCTAAGGGTGTACGCCAGGCGATAATGAATGCTTGTACTGGCGCTGTGGACAGGTGTAAGAGAGCCCTGGGGAGAAATAAATACTCGTTCTCTAGCTAATTCCCATGACTCGCCGGGTAGAGCGAACGCCAGGCGATACTAAGTGCTCTTACTGACGCGCTTTTTATTGGAACGCGAAGTGGAAAGGAAAAGCCAGACGCTGTCGATCGCCCGTGGTGGCACTGTCAAGGGGTTTTAGACATATCAGGAGTTATAAAAGAGATGGGTGACAAGGGGTGGGAATGGAAGTGCCAGGAGTTGTTGATCGCTCGTGGTGGCACTGTCAGGAGGCTTTACACGTATCAATAGTTGGAGGAGAGGAAAGGGTATTGATCCCTCCTCCCCCTCCACCTCCACCACAACCACCCCTCACAACCTCCCCCAACAATCATCCTTCACAGCCTCTCCACCAACCCTCCAACACCACCACCCATCCCCAACCCCCCCACCACCCCACACGGCCCTCCAACACCCCCACCATGCCCCTCCAACACCCCCACCATCCTCCTCCAACACCCCACCATCCTCCTCCAACACCCCCACCACCACCCTCCAACACCACCCACCACCACCCCCCAACACCCCCAAACCCTCCAACACTCCACCACCACCCCACACGGCCTCACTACCACCACCTCCAACACCCTCCTCCAACATCCTGACCACCACTTTCCAACACCCCACCACCACCTTCCAACACCCCCCACCACCTCAAGCTGACCTATCGGCCAATTGAACCAAAGAGATGCACCATGAAGCTTGCATGAGACACGGGTGAGGGAGCTGTACTGGAGGTGGGGGGCAGCCGGGGGGAGCAGTACTGGGGGAGGGGAGCAGTATCGGGGAGCAGTATCGGGGAAGCAGTACCGGGGAGGGGGAGCAGTACTGCTGGGGAGCAGTACGGGGGGGGGCAGTACCGGGGTGGAGGGGGGGAAGAGGGACGTGCGTGGAGGATTGTCACAGAAGGGAGGAGACATTGCAGGAGGAGAGGAGGGGAGGGGAGGAGAGAGGAGAGGAGGGGAGAGAGGAGAGGAGGGAGAGAGGTGCACAAAGAGGGAGGAGAAGAAGAGAGAGAGAGAGACAGACAGAGGAAACAAAGAATGGAACAGAGAGAAACAGAGAATGAAGGAGAGAGAGAGACAACGAATGAAGGGGAAAGAGAACACCAACCATACGAAGAAGGAATAGATGAAGAAGACAATCATGGTAGATGAGTATAACCACAACACAACCGGGAAGTATAAACACAACACAACCGGGAAGTATAACCACACCACAACCAGGAAGTATAACCACAACACAACCAGAAGTATAACCACAACACAACCGGGAAGTATAACCACAACACAACCGGGAAGTATAACCACAACACAACCAGGAAGTATAATCACAACACAACCAGGAAGTATAACCACAACACAACCAGGAAGTATAACCACAACACAACCGGGAAGTATAACCACAACACAACCGGGAATTATAACCACAACACAACCAGGAAGTATAATCACAACACAACGGGAAGTATAACCAACACAACCGAAGTATAACTTTTAACTGCCGTAAATGTCTCAAAGTTACCTCGCACCATCTAAACACTTCACCAGGTAAGTGTGTGTGTGTGTGTGTGTGTGTGTGTGTGTGTGTGTGTGTGTGTGTGTGTGTGTGTGTGTGGCTTAGCTCCTTTGACGATGTAATGAGATGTATCTAGGTTTGGTTTGGTTAGGTTAGGTTTGGTTAGGTTAGGTTTGGTTAGGTTACGTTATTATTGAAATATTACAGAAGTTCTTGTTATTGTTGTTATAATTAGCGTCATTCATGTTATTTTATTGTTATTGAAAATCTGAGTTATTGTTATTTTTGTTCTCATTAATTCTGAAAGTTGCTGAGTTCGTTCTTCACCTTGTTCTTCCTTCTACAGAACGTAGATGAGCTTAAAGGCGATATCTGTTCTTGTTCTTGTAACTTCAGGGCACAGTGTTCATCATGTTCTTGTAACTTCACGGCACAGTGTTCATCATGTTCTTGTTCTAGTAGCTTCAGGGCACAGTGTTCATCATGTTCTTGTTCTTGTAACTTCAGGGCACAGTGTTCATCATGTTCTTGTTCTTGTAGCTTCAGGGTACAGTGTTCATCATGTTCTTGTAGCTTCAGACACAGTGTTCATCATGTTCTTGTAGCTTCAGACAGTGTTCATCATGTTCTTGTAGCTTCAGACACAGTGTTCATCATGTTCTTGTAGCTTCAGGGCACAGTGTTCATCATGTTCTCGCCCTTGAAACACCAACTTGTTCTTCCCCCTACAGAACATGGAGCTAAAGGGGCAGATGGTGGTTTGCCCTGAGAGTGACTCCCTGCTCTTCGTCGGGTCGCCTCTGATAGATGGCCTCACAGCCCTCACCTCTCGGGGACTCTACCTCTCCGATATCCCCATCCACGACGCCACCAGGGACGTTATCCTGGTGGGGGAGCAGTCTAGGGCCCAGGTGAGGTGTGTGTGGGGCCCAGGTGAGGTTGGGGCCCAGGAGTGTGTGGGGCCCAGGTGAGTTGGCCCAGGTGGTGTGTGGCCCAGGTGAGTGTGTGTGGGGCCCAGGTGAGTGTGTGGGGCCCAGGTGAGTGTGTGTGGACAGGTGAGTGTAGGGGACCCAGGTGAGGTGTGTGGGAGGGGCCCAGGGAGTGTGTGGGGCCCAGGTGAGTGTGTGTGTGGCCCAGGTGAGTGTGTGTGACAGGTGAGTGTGTGTTAGATGACTGTGAGCATGTGTGTGTGTGTGGGGGGGGGTGACAGCCACACCATTAACAGGGCTGTCCTCCGTCACAACACTCCACACAACACCTCCCAATACCTGTAATAATGTCACCTGTGTTTCTGCCCATCACCATCAGCCATCAAGCCAACACCTCATCGAAGCCTTCATTATGTTTCCTATTATGTCTCCCCATTAGCCATCACTCCAAGACCCCCTCCCTTCCCCCACCCCCTTCCCTCCCTTTCCCTTACCTCTCATCTATTCTATCTTAATTATCACAGTCCTCTTTTTTTCGTTCTATTCGTTTAATATTCTCTTGTTACTGACCTCGTTCCTGTCATTCTCTTCTTTCCTCTTCACTTTATCATCTCTCTGACCCTCAACATTTTCATCAAGAATATCACAGAGTCCTCGTGGGCGGAGAAGAGAGGCGGTCTTTTGTCACAGGATGGACTTGAGCACCCAATAAACCTTCAACAACTTGTTATTTCTATTTTCTCCCAGGATGGTCTCAAGCACCCAAGTAGCCTGGTATCTGCAGTAAAGGGATTTTTTTCCAGGATGGTCTCAAGCACCCATGAAACCTTCAGTAACCTGGTCATTATATTTTTCCCAGGATGGTCTCAAGCATCCAATAACCTTCAGTTACCAGGCCATTGTATTTTTCCCAGGATGGTCTCAAGAGGAGGATGGCCCAACTGAAGGATTCAATCGAGGACACGAACAACGCCGTGGACAAGGAGAGAGAGAAGAACGTCTCTCTCCTTCACCTCATCTTCCCTCCTGACATAGCCAAGAGACTTTGGCTAGGTGAGTCTTACAGCTATCTTGAGTTATCTTACGGTGTTCCGTCTATCTTAGGTTATCTTAAAGTGTTCCGGCTATCTCAGGCTATCTTAAAGTGTTCCGCATCTTGAGTTATCTTACTGCCAAAATAACCGGCGTGCCATCTCGATTACCATGATATCCCAAAACCTGTTCTCATGGCGTGGCATTCCAAGACATCCTGACACCCATACACATATCTCCTTATACCAAGATATCATAACACTCACTAACATCACCCTTATACCAACACATAATCTAACCAAACCAAACCAAACCAAACCAAACCAAACCTAACCAAACCAAACCAAACCAAACCTAACCTAACCAAACCAAACCTAACCAAACCAAACCAAACCAAACCTAACCAAACCAAACCTAACCTAACCAAACCAAACCTAACCTAACCCATCTCTCTAACCCAGGTGAGGTGATCCAGGCCCAGAAACACGACGAGGTGACCATGTTATTCAGCGACATCAGGGCTTCACCTCCATCTGCAGCACCGCCACCCCCCTCATGGTCATCAACATGCTACAGAACCTCTACACACAGTTTGATGCTTACTGTGGCCATCTGGATGTTTACAAGGTGAGAGGGGGGAGGGGAGGGAGGGAGGGGAGGGGGAGGGAGGGGAGGTGAGAGAGGAAGGGGTGGGGAGGGGAGGAGGTGAGTGGTGGGCGGTTATACGTTACGTTCACCCTTCTAGCCCGCAGATGATTATTTTTTGTATTACTAGCTCAGGTTTTATTAAATGTGTGTGTGTGTGTGTGTGTGTGTGTGTGTTCAGTAGGGTGAGGGTTATTGGGTAGGTCTCTCTCGTTTGTGTATGTATGTACAGTATGTATGGCGACCTGTAATGGTGAGCATGCTCGCCTCCTGCAACGAGTGGACCTGCCTGATGTCCGGGCAGAGTGAAACTATGGGCAAGTTTCTTTACGCCATTTGCCTCTGTCTACCCAGCAGTAATTGGGGACCTGGATGTTAATCGATTTGGTGATCGTGTTCCGGGGTAATGGTTAGCCAGTGCAGTTGGCGAGTTGTCCGGTCTTCTCGGACTATTCCTTGACACTGGGTCATGCAGCTCGTTAACTCAGGGTGGCCCATAGCTCGGGCTCATGGTAGGCTCTCGGGAGCTCCGTATCTGTGTTGTTCAGATCTCGAGCGGTGCACCAGGGAGGGCAGAGGGCGTGGCCGGCGGAACAAACTGTGTTCCTCTGGCTTAGGACATAATGTAAGTTTATAATAGGGTGATTGTTAGAGTATTGTTTTATATTTATGTAACTGTTGTATGAGTGTGGCGATTGTTACTGTTTCATTATTGCTGGTTGTTGTTGTTTCTTGTCAATATATTGTGTATTTCAACATTGCGTTTGCTACTCCTCTCCTATAGTGATGTAGAATACCTGAGTAAGACTGAATAGTACAGGAGCAATAGGCTGAAGATGAGGTGAAATGTAAGTAAACAAAACATTGGAGTCTGTGGGGGTCGGTTACCGCCTGGTGTCCAGCTCAGGAACAAAACCTCCTAACAAAATTGTGTTGGCAAATCGATTAACATCCAGGTCCCCAATTACTGCTGGGTAGACAGAGGCAAATGGGGTAAAGAAACCTGCCCACAGTTTCACCCTGCCCGGGGATCGAACCTGGGTCCACAAGCATATACGCACAAACATACACATTCACCAGCATATCCACACAGTCATACACCTACACACACACACAACCATACACACACACACACACACACACACCCGTAATATCCATCACCGCGGAATTATCACATAAGTTATATCTCTCCGGCATAACATACACGAGTTGCCATCAAGAAATATATGCAAACCAATGGATTACATTAACATCAGCAACAGACCCAATCAGCTTTTCATGCATAGCTGATCAGAAGACAAACACACGTACACACACCTGACACATACCTGACTGAGCACACCTTGGCACACCAAACTTACGAGGGGTACCATCCATGAGTGACCGCATTGTACCGCCGGTGGTTCAGATATATGTGTGTGTGTGTGTGTGTGTGTGTGTGTGTGTGTGTGTGTGTGTGTGTGCAATCATTTGTCTATTAACAGTTCAAATCAACAACAAATCCACTCACCAACATTACGAATCACAAACGAATCATCTCACCAATCACTGAATCAATAAGGAATAATTAATAAGTAATATACCAATTACCATTTTTTATAATAATTGACCTACTTTTAGTTTACCTGTAATTAAGATGAGGTAATTACCTTTCCCGTTAGAGTCTCTTCACTCGGGTAACTCGAGGATCTCTCTCTCTCTCTCTCTCTCTCTCTCTCTCACGAACGCTACTAAGCTCATGTAATTAACCTGTATTTTAACACATCTACGTTTTTTACCTTTCTTCGTCTACTTGTCTTAATTAAGCTCTTCCTAATCCTTCTCTTCTTCGTTCATTTCTCTTTCTTTTATTATGTCTCTCTATTCCAACATTTATCATCTATCATTTATTTTAACATTTGATCATTTTAACTCACTCACTACAGTTAATCATCTCTAGTTGTTATGTATTTGTTAATTATCTCGTAATGTAATTAACACCCTTTAACACCTGCCTCTCTTAATTGGAGGTAAAGACAGATTTAACCTCAACTTAACATCTGTTCCTCGTAATACAGATGTTATTAACGTCGTTTTAACATCCTATTTTATTATCTGGGTGTTGTTAATTTGCCTTTTTTTAACACCTGTTTTTATTAACATCTTTAACTTTCACCTACAACTTTTATCACCTGTTCTACATTAACATCTGTTCTTACTAAACACCTGTCCTTCAATATTGTAACACCTGTCTACCATTAACACCTGTCCACCACTAATACCTACTCCATCAACACCTGTCCACCACTAACACCTGCCCATAAACACCTGTTCACCACTAATACCTACCCATCAACACCTGTCCACCACCAACACCCGTCCACCACTAACACCTGCTCATCAACACCTGTCCACCACCAACACCTGTCGACCACTAACACCTGCATCTCCTGACCCCTCGCCTACAGGTAGAGACCATTGGTGACGCGTACTGTGTGGCCGGGAACCTGCACCGTCGAGGTAAGTGGCACGCCCATCAGGTGGCCTGGTGGCGCTCAAGATGATGTGTTCCTGCACCACCCACACCACCCACGACGGCCAGCCTACAGGTGCGTGGGCGTGAAAGGCGGGGAGGGTGGGGGGAGGGGGGCAGGGTAGGGGGAGTGGGGGGAGGATGAAAGGGTGGAAAGAAGAAGGAAGAGGGAGGAATGAAAGAAACGGAAGTATGGAAAGGGGAGAGAGAAGAAGAAGGAAGGGGAGAGGGAGGAAGAAAGAAGGGGGAGAGAGGAAGAAGGAAGGAGAGGGGAGGAAGAAGAAGGAAGAGGAAGAGGGTGTGGGTTAGATCGCACAGGTGCGTGGGGAGGTGGAGGAGTGGGGAGGTGAGGAGAGGGCTGAGGGGAGAGTATAAGAGGGGGAATTAAGAGAGAGAGAGAGAGAGAGAGAGAGAGAGAGAGAGAGAGAGAGAGAGAGAGAGAGAGAGAGAGAGAGAGAGGAATAAGAAAGTAGATGCGTTAAGGGAGAGGAACAATGGAAGAAGGGAAATAGATGAACGAAGAGAAGAGATGGATGAATAGAGGAAAGAACGAAGGAAAGAAAGAACGAAAGGACAAAGGAAGGAAGGAAGGAAGGAAGGAAGGAAGGAAGGAAGGAAGGAATGAAGGAAGGAAGGAAAGGACGAAGGAAGGAAGGAAGGAAGGAAGGAACGAAAGGACAAAAGGAAGGAAGGAAGGAAGGAAGGAAGGAAGGAAGCGATAATTTGGGGAGAAATAACCCTGTAGGTAGGAATAGGGAAACACGATTGGATAAGAGGGAGGAAAGGAGCAGATAGGGATTAGATGTGAGGGTAAGGGAATAGGATAAGGCATGTGACGCTAAGGGCTGTAAGGAATAGGGATTAGGGATGTGAGGGTAAGGAATAGGATAAGGCATGGAGACGCTAAGGGCTGTAAGGAATAGGGATAGGGATGTGAGGGTAAGGGAATAGGGATAAGGCATGTGAGGCTAAGGGCTGTAAGGAATAGGGATAGGGATGAGGGTAAGGGAATAGGGATAAGGCATGTGAGGCTAAGGGGCTAAGGAATAGGATTAGGGATGTGAGGGTAAGGGAATAGGGATAAGGCATGTGAGGCTAAGGGCTGTAAGGAATAGGGATTAGGGATGTGAGGGGTAAGGGAATAGGGATAAGGCATGTGAGGCTAAGGGCTGTAAGGAATAGGGATTAGGGATAAGGGGTAAGGAATAGGGATAAGGCATGTGAGGCTAAGGGCTGTAAGGAAGGATTAGGGATGTGAGGGAATAGGATAAGGCATGTGACGCTAAGGGCTGTAGGAATAGGGATTAGGGATGTGAGGGTGGGAATAGGGATAAGGCATGTGAGGCTAAGGGCTAAGGAATAGGGATTAGGGATAAGGGTAAGGGAATAGGGATAAGGCATGTGAGGCTAAGGGCTGTAAGGAATAGGGATTAGGGATTAGGGTAAGGGACGAAGACTCAAATGACGCGTGTTTAGGGGGAGCTTAACGAGGACCAGCGGGTAATTAACGCCCAATGTTACTGCCACAGGTATTGATTCCCCTCAGGTAACAGTGCCACAGTTATTGATTCCCCTCAGGTAACAGTGCCACAGGTATTGATTCCCCTCAGGTAACAGTGCCACAGGTATTGATTCCCCTCAGGTAACAGTGCCACAGTTATTGATTCCCCTCAGGTAACAGTGCCACAGGTATTGATTCTCAGGATAACACAGGTATTGATTCCTCAGGTAAAGTGCCACAAGGTTGATTCCCCAGGTAACAGTGCCACAGGTATTGATTCCTCAGGTAACAGTGCCACAGGTATTGATTCCCCAGGTAACAGTGCCACAGGTATTGATTCCCCAGGTAACAGTGCCACAGGTATTGATTCCCCAGGTAACAGTGCCACAGGTATTGATTCCCCTCAGGTAACAGTGCCACAGGTATTGATTCCCCTCAGGTAACAGTGCCACAGGTATTGATTCCTCAGGTAACAGTGCCACAGGTATTGATTCCTCAGGTCAACAGTGCCACAGGTATTGATTCCCTCAGGTAACAGTGCCACAGGTATTGATTCCCCAGGTAACAGTGCCACAGGTATTGATTCCCCAGGTAACAGTGCCAGGTATTGATTCCCTCAGGTAACAGTGCCACAGTTGATTCCCCAGGTAACAGTGCCACAGCTAACATTATCACATCTAATAGCGTCACAGCTAATATTAACAAAGCCAACAGTGCCAGAGCTAACAGTGCCACAGCTAACAGTGCCACACCTACAGATGCGTATCGGCTTGCACACTGGACCGGTACTGGCTGGGGTGGTGGGGACAGTGATGCCTCGGTATTGTATGTTCGGCTCCAACGTCACTGTCGCCAACCAGTTCGAATCCACCTCAGAGCCGCTCAGAATTAACATCAGCCCCACCACGCACAGGTAAGCACAGGTGTTACATTGTTACCTTTAATGTAATAACTCTTAGATTAACTGTACAGGTAAGTTGTTACATTGTTACCTTTAATGTAATAACTCTTAGATTAACTGTACAGGTAAGTTGTTACATTGTTACCTTTAATGTAATAACTCTTAGATTAACTGTACAGGTAAGTTGTTACATTGTTACCTTTAATGTAATAACTCTTAGATTAACTGTACAGGTAAGTTGTTACATTGTTACCTTTAATGTAATAACTCTTAGATTAACTGTACAGGTAACCACAGGTAACTCGACCACCGGCTCTTAATACCACTGTTACCGTGTACGCCCTCCTTACTCAACTGACCCCGAGATCAAATTACAGGTACAAACTCCATTGTAAACGAGACTCCAGTATTCCTTTGTTCACCAATTAACAGTCGTCTGGAATACATTGTTACCTTGGGGCGACCACCAAGGTAACTCTAGTCCATTCTTCTATTGTTACTCCCAGAGATTAAAGGAATACTTGCTTATCCTACCACTGGTCTCTCGTTAGGTCACATAGACAATCTGGTCCCCCTCTATCCAGGTGAAAGGGTCTTTGAGGAGGACTAATGAAGAGGCAAATGAGTAGGTGTGAATTCAGATCCTATTTATACCCCCCATCACCCCCATCAACCCCCACCCCCATCCTCCCATCCCCCATCACACACACACATCCCTCTGAGTATTACTGAAGCCTGGGATGGAAACACACACACACACACACACACACACAGTTAATAAATCACAGGATGGAGTGGTTAGTACACCTGCCTAGCAGACAACAAATCCTAGGTTCGATTCCCAGTGAGAATAGAACTATTAGGTAATTCTAAATTTTCTTTATACGATATGTTCATTATATGTTCAATTAGTACAGCTAACTAACCAAACCAACCAACCAACTAAACACTCACCAACCAACCACCTAACCAACCAACCAACCACCTAACCAACAACCAACCAACCAACCATCCAACCACCTAACCAACCAACCATCCAACCACCTAACCAACAACACCTAACAACAACCACCTAACCAACACCCAACCACCCAACCACCAACCTAACCAACCAACCAACCAACTAACCAAACCACCAACCAACCCTAACCAACCACCCAACCACCCAACCAACAACCACCTAACCAACAACCCACCCAACCACCCAAACCAACAACCACCCAACCAACAACCACCTAACCAACCAACAACCACCTAACCAACAACCCAACCACCCAACCACCTAACCAACCACCCAACCAACCAACCACCTAACCTAACCTAACCAACCAACCACCTAACCAACAACCAACCATCCAACCACCTAACCAACAACCACCCAACCAACAACCCAACCACCCAACCACCTAACCAACCACCCAACCAACCAACCAACCACCCAACCAACAACCAACCATCCAACCACCCAACCAACAACCACCTAACCAACAACCACACCAACCAACCAACCAACCATCCAACCACCTAACCAACAACCACCTAACCAACCAACCACCTAACCAACCAACCAACCAACCATCCAACCACCTAACCAACAACCACCTAACCAACCAACCACCTAACCAACCAACCACCTAACCAACCACCTAACCAACATGAAATAATTCCATCTCTCTCACTACAGACTGCTGACCTCAGGCCCTGGGGAGTGGTCATTCACGCAACGAGAGAGGACCTGCCTGCCGAAGACCTTCCCACCAGATGAGCCAGGGTGCCCACACTTCCTGGACAGCTATCACCACCCTGGGATGAGTCCGCGGGTGCCCCTGGGTGAACATATCGAGAAGAGCCTGAGGAGGATGGAACTGAACCCATCCTGAGCAGACCACACGTTAGGTCAAAGGTCATTTGGGGGGAACATTATTTTGAGGGTTCGGATGTAAGGGCGAGTTTTCTGTGAGAGGGTTCAACGGATAGTGAGTAAGGGTGGTTATTGACCTCATGTAGTGATGGTGGTGGTGGAGGTGGTGATGGTGGTGGTGGTGGTGGTGATGATGATTATACTGATGGTGATGCTTATTATAATGATGATGATGATGATGATGATGGTAAAGGTGAACGAAAATGATGTTGATAATGATTGTGATTATTATGGTGATTAAAATGAGTAATAATAATGATGATGGTGGTGATGATGATAATGGTGATGGTGTTGATGATGGTGATGACAATGATGATAATGGCTAAAATTAATAATAATGACAATGTCGATGATAATGCCAATGATAATGATAATGAGGACCGTGATGATAATAATGACAATGATGAATATAATGGTAAATAAGTGTAGACAACCACATAAGCAACCCACGTGTTGGTGGTGTTAGTGGTGGTGATGGTGGTAGTGGTGGTGATGGTGGTAGTGGTGGTGATGGTGGTAGTGGTGGTGGTGGTGATGGTGGTAGTGGTGGTGACGGTGATAGTGGTAGTGGTAGTGATAGTGATAGTGGTAGTGATAGTGATAGTGGTAGTGGTGGTGGTAATGGTGATAGTGGTAGTGAGAGCAGGAGGAGGAGGAGAGTAACTGTCAAGAACAAGAATGATATCACCAATAAGTCTTGCACCAGACACTAATGGGAGGGTAGGTTAGGTTAGGTTAGGTTAGGTTAGGTTAGGTTAGGTTGGGTTAGGTTAGGTTAGTTACAAATAACTTAGAGATAATTACAGATGGGGAGAGATAATTACGAATAACTGAGACACAATTACGAATAAAACTGAGACAATTACGAATAACTGAGACACAATTACGAATAACTGAGAAAATAATGACTCAACTGTAAATAAATAAATAAAAAACATTTGTCTCTAAGGAAGAAGAAGAAATAGATTAAATTATTTGTACATTATAAAAAAAATCTATATATATGATCTATATTATTAGAAGAAATATAGCAGAAGAAATATATTATTGTTATATTGTGTAAGTATTGTATTATTTGTGGGTGTTGGAGAAGGTGAAGGGAATGGTGGAGAAAAAATGAAGGAGTGTTGGAGATGGTGAAGGAACGTTGGAGATAAGGCAGGAATGTTGGGAATGTTGGAGATAACGAGGTAGTGTTGGAGATGGTGGAAGAAATGTTGGAGATAATGGGGTAGTGTTGGAGATGGTGGAAGAAATGTTGGAGATAATGGGGTAGTGTTGGAGATGGTGGAAGAAATGTTGGAGATAATGAAGGAGTGTTGGAGATGATAAAGGAAACTGGAGATAATGAAGGAATGTTAGGGATAATGAAGGAATGTTGGAGATAATGAAGGAATGTTGGGGATAATGAAGGAATGTTGGAGATAATGAAGGAATGTTGGAGATAATGAAGGAATGTTAGGGATAATGAAGGAATGTTGGAGATAATGAAGGAATGTTGTGGATGATGAAGGAATACAACTCCAATGAACTCTATAAATTGATGAAAAAACATGAAAAAATTTTTAGATGAAAAATTGCACAATACAAATGTTTATGTTTTCTTTGTTGTACAGTTGTTGTGTAAACATTTGAGTATATATATACATGTGTAATGAACCTGTACTGTATTATTATTATTATTATTACTATTATTATTATTATTACTATTATTATTATTATTATTATTATTACTATTATTATTATTATTATTATTATTATTATTATTGTTATTGTTATTATTATTATTATTATTATTATTATTATTGTTATTATTATTATTATTATTATTATTATTATTATTATTGTTATTATTATTATTATTATTATTATTATTATTATTGTTATTATTATTATTGTTATTATATATTATTATTATTATTATTATTATTATTATTATTATTATTATTGTTATTATTATTATTATTATTATTGTTATTATTATTATTATTATTATTTTATTATTATTATTATTATTTATTATTATTATTATTATTATTATTATTATTATTTTTTGTTATTATTATTATTATTATTATTATTATTATTATTATTATTATTATTACTATTATTATTATTATTATTATTATTATTATTATTATTATTATTGCTTTTAGATGTAGTTTGTTTTTAAATGTATAATGTCGGTGCTGTTATTTATCCTTACCCACCCCCACCCTTACCCCCACCTTACCCCACCCTTACCCCCACCCCACCACTTACCCCTTACCCTCACCCCCATACCCCCCCTCCCAGGTTTAGGAAATATAGCACTGCCTCCCTCATATTGTAACTTGAGAGATTTATAAGATGGCCTCAATCCTCCCTTCTTTCCCTTCCTCCTTCTCCTTCCTCCTCCCTCTCTCTACCCTCCTTTCTCTGCTTCCTCCCTCATTTTTCCTCCTTCCTCCCCGCAATACATAACAATGACGTGATGCAGAGAATAAACAAAGTAGGTGTTTGATTGGTACATTTTTGGTTATAATTTTTGTAATGTAAAAATGGTTAAGATTCACGTGAAGCTTAGACACCCCAGTTTATTTCACCTTAAGATTAGCCAACCTAACCTAACTTGACGTAACCTTAACCTAACCTAAACCTTACCCAACGAAAACTTAACCTAATCCAACCTAACCTAACTTAGCGCCCCCCCCCCCAACCCCACCCAAGGTAAAATTAAGGGTATTTGAATAACCAGGTGAAATAAGCTTGGGGGTCCTAATCTTCATGTGATCCGAAACTGCCAAGACCAACAGACAAACGATATAATCTGGTAAACTCACGATCGCTATACAACACTGAAATAATGCGGTGAATAAGTATAATGAGGAGTTATGTAATTAATTCATTTTTGTTTTGTAATTATACCTAAACTGATATTATAAAATGATTTCTCTTCCCTCATGACTGACAGACATACATAGACTATAACAGGCTAATTGCTATATAAAGCTAACATAATAAAAAATAAATATAACAACATCATAATATTTCTGGGGGGTAATAATATTTTTTTCTCCACATATAAACCTGAACTAATCGTCTCAGTTCTCCCCCATGACCATCAAACAGACCAATTACAACACACCACTGAGAATAACAACAAAGACTGACTGAAGATAAACACGTAAAAACATCTCATCTAGACTATTACCGGACCACCAATATAACACTCAATAAAATGTAAACAAACTAGTCATTAAATGTTTCTCTTACAGGACCAACATTTGTACTCACGTGTGGGAGACCTGACACATGTGTAAGGAGAATGTGTGGATGTTGGAATACTATAAACATTTACATAAACATTCACGTCATCTACAGGATACGGGATGTGTAAGGTGGTGTGTGTGTGTGTGTGTGGGTGTGTGTGTGTGTGTGTGTGTGTGTGTGTGTGTTATATATTTTGAGAAACATGAGTAGCACACACACACACACACACACACACACACACACACACCACACACACACACACACACACACACACACACACACACACACACACACACACACACACACACACACACACACACACACACACACACACACACACACACACACACACACACACACACACACACACACACACACACACACACACACACACACACACACACTAGTGGTTCTCAACACACTATAAAATAGTCGATAACACACAGGCTAAGCTGACCACCAGGGTCAGGTCCATAGTCAGTCAGGGTCCAGGTCCCACGGTCCCGGGTTCAGGGCCACACAGAGATAATTCAGGCCTTACCCCCAGACTATATAGAGAACACAGTAATTATCAAACTCCTGCAGGCCACATCTTGTTTCACCAAGTTATACCAAAATACATTAATATTAAAGTTACGAGGCTAGTGAACACACACACACACACACACACACACACACACACACACACACACACACACACACACACACACACACACACACACACACACACACACACACACACACATGGACGGAACACTACCAACTACATGACGAAACATAAAAAAAAAAAATACGAAACAAAATGCATATAACGGTAGTGAACGATAACATACGTATAAGAACTGACTTAGACTGAATGACTGATAACATTTTTCATTATTTATTTTCGTTGGTTGAGTTGTCAGCTCCATGCCCGCTCTTCTTGACCTAACGGATGGAATACTTTTACGTGTGAGGGAATAATTTCTTAGTATAGCGTATAATAAATTCCCAGTAAGTATTCGACCGCCTATTTTTACTTCCATACAGATGAAGCTATTAGTCGCTAGTTATCATACATAGTGCATGGTAGGCGACTTAACTAGCACGCTAATAGCCTCCTAAAAATAATTACATTGCCACTAGGAAAACTGCAGTTGATACACTCACCAGGCGAAGCTGTTTAGGGAAGTAGAATCGTACACTAAACCAGGGAGAGAAACGCCATATTAGTCTAGTTATTAATGCTATTTACGCTGATCGAGTGAGACAAGTATACTATATTTTGTACCTACAGGTGATGTGATGCATAATATGATCGTAGAGGAATCCAGGTTGTAGAAAATAGCTAACATTTTGGCGTCACGTTCCGGCGCTTAATTCGTTGGTTCTATTATGACGTCACTTTTCCTCCTCAGTCATTGGTTCTCCCTGTGACGTCACGGTCAAACCTCTCCAGTTATTGGTTTTCCTTGTGACGTCACAGTCAACAATCCCCAGTCATTGGTTTTCCTTAGGACACCACTACTTCTATTCTAATACCTCATTGGTTTTCGCCTTCTTATAATGTAATGACGTCACGCTTATTCTCATCCCTCATTGGTTATCTGTGATGTTGCTGTTGTGACGACATATAAACAAGGATAGTCATTTGTTATTATATTGACGTCACTAATATTTGTTTTCTTGTACTTAGCGAAGACTTTATATAAGATAGCAGCTACAAGAATGGTGCTTTAGAGAGCATGACTTTACTTAAATTATTAGTAACTTTACTTTGCACTTTACAGTCATGGAAATAATTAATTAATATATGTTGTGGTGATGTTATACTTCCCGCCAGTCGTGTTGTACAAGTAATAGTCATCTATTTTATTAGATATACTGTATATTTCTGACTTAAACGGAGTACTGTATAAAACCATAATAGACTTGAAGCCATAGTGAACCTTGCAGCTTCTAATATGTCCTTCGGGCAGCTTTTAATGAATATACCGACATATTAGAGATATATATTGATATACCTAATATAATTATGTCGTTTTAAAACTATCTCCTCCGACACTGACTCCTGTAATGTCTCTTAATAACTGTATAATATAACCCCACGTGTTGTTTTAAGATAACTGTGTGTTCTAAGTCAAAAATAAAGATGATGTATTTTACAACTAACTCTCTCTACTGTACAAAGGTGACCCACACGACTGTTATTGTATGTATCATATTGTATATAATGTGAATGGAATATTAAAAAACTATCTTCAAGTTATGCTTTTGATTATCCACCTGTGTGT